TTATCTTTCTAGAAAGGAGAGCGCTCATAAGTCCAAAGAGTCCGTCTGCGAGTGTTTCGGGTGAGTTTACACTAATGAAAAATATATAAAAACACAATAAAATGCACGTTTTAGTGATGGATTGTTTCCCTTCCACGCTTACCTGAATGGATTCGGTATGGGGTTTGAATATTGCTTTTGCACAAATACAGCGTCTACTGAAAACTTGGTGTCCGGCTTGAGCAGGACCAACTCGCTGCGGCGACGACGCGCCTCGCAAGAGAGACCTCCGATTTCACACATACCTGTCGCTATGAGAGGTCTATACGTGTTCTTATAGTAGTTATTAGCAAGACACTTGGTATTAGCTTAGTTAATTTGGAAAAACCAAATCTGTTTAAGGTTTGTATGAAATGGTAAATACTGGTATTGCAGTTTTCATATAAAAACTCACGCATTTTAAAACATAGTTTTTTTACCTCTAAACAAAATTAAGCGCGTACACCTTTGATTAAACTATCGTTTAATTGTTGTGCGATTGTCGATTGTTTTGCAGCCAATTCAACTGTTTAGTTGCACAACTAACAATCGAGTAGTGTATCTCCATATAAGCTCAGAAATCAAAGCGCGACTAAACAGTTGTTCGATTGTTTAGTCAACTGTCTATAAGCTAAAGAAAATTGGAAAATGTTCGATATAAACAAGAGGACAAATATTCCAAATTGAACCCTAAAATGCATGTTTTTTTTAAATACCATAAATTAAAACTGGTAGTAAATTGAACATACATTAAGAGAAAAATAATGATTTAAAAATAGTTTATTATGTAAGGAAAAAAGACATGTACAAATCCATTTGGTTACATAGTGTAACATGCTATCTCGTTCTAATCCCATAAGTGTGAGGGAGATGACTATCTATAACGTTCCAGAACGTTCTCCAAGCGCGGGCGTGGGCGGGGCGGCGCGCAGCGTGTCCGCGCTGGACTCTGCGGCGGCGCAGCGCGCTCGGGCACGCGCACTCTATTCGCATATGAGCCGCGCCAAGGTCACCGCCGGCACTGCCTCGCTGCGTATGTAGAAGCCCTAATTTTTATATTTCCACCATTTTATAATGGGTAGGAATGGGTTTAACGGTGAAGAGGAAGGGATAATATCTTTGTGTGTCCTTCCTTGGTATTAATAAACGAGAGTAACGAGGGTAAATAAGAAATAAACACCAATAGAAACGTTTAAGGGTAATCAAAGACTTTAAAACATATTTCAATCCATACTCAATATATATTGTCAGCTAGTGACGTGTTTCATTAGAAAGTGTACAATTCGTTTACATATATTTGACTTGTGATTGTTTTTAGACGTTAAATGTTATGTCCTTTATTATGTATTTCTGACACTATACGACAATGTTAAACTCCTATAGTTTTGCCAAAATATAGAGAAGATAATTGCGTGATAGTAATGTGGTTTTATATGTTTCTTTGCTATACTGAAGAGGGCGAGATGGCACAACAAGGTACATTTCTAAATGTAAACACCGTAGCTTATACCCTTTTATTATTCACTTGCCCGCTTTTCAATAATTAATTAGCACATTTACTCTTTATTGTTTATTAGCTTTTTCTCGCGAGTTAAAAAAGTACTCTATGGTTTCTTCTGGACTTCTTCTGTCGTACATCTGTGTCACATTTCATCGATGGATGGATGTTTGTGAGACTTTGTAGCCTACTCGGCTGAACGGATCTTGATGAAATTTTGCATAGATGTAGAGGATAGTCTGGAAGAACACATAGGCTACTCACTTTTGTTTTTTTTCTTAATTCCACGCGATCG